TTTCCAGCCTTTACATGTCCGAGGTTTGGGACACTTTCTGAGCCGCTCGAAGGCTAAGGAAACACTGTACTTTTAAAAGGATTTTCACAGCGTGCATTTGCCCTGCTACTCCTGGGAGCAAAGGAGCAAATGCATACGGAAAGCAAAAACTTGCTTCTTTTTATATTAAAAAAACAGATGGGTTTTTGCATGGCCTCTTTCCAGGAGAGGAAGCCTTCGCTAAGAATTCTCCATTCTTCACCACCCTCTCTAGGTTCAGCATTTTCTTAAAGCGGCGATTTTGGCCCGCCAGGAAAGGGGGAAAAAACCCTCCCAAACTTTAACTATTGCCTGTTTTTTTTTTTAAGTTAACTCAATCTTCTTTAATAGAGGCCTGGCACCAAAAGGAAGCACATCTGGTTTGAATCGGCATCCCGGCCTCCATCAGCTGCAGAAAAATGGAAGAAGGGAGAGGGGCAGGTCTTAAGCCGAGTAAACACACACGGTTCCGGGCGAGATCTCTTTTTCTGATAAGGGAAAGCCGCCTGGCCTGAAAACTTGTGTGATTCTCAAGCTTGTGGCCATCATCATCATCAGGGTGGTGGAGACCTTAAAGGACATGATCGAAGGACCCCCGTTTCTGGGGGTCTGTCAGGAGAACCATGAAGTCAGCAGGGTGGCCTTTGGGAGCCCGTGGGTCCCCTTGCGCTTCTGGACAGGCCAACCTCGCAGGACTGTCGTGACCCTAAAGTAGAGAGGAGCAGAACCACGAATGCCACGTGGAGCTTTCCGAAGGATAAAGGCAGAACGTTTTTTAAAAAATGGCTCGATAGCTCAGTGGTTTTGGTCTCTGGCTGCAAAACCAGAGGTTGGGAGTTCGATATCCCCCACTGGGCCTCTTTCGATGGGGGCTGGACTTGGTGATCCGTAGGGTCCCTTCCAGCCTCTGCCTTTCTAAGGTTAAATTAACGAAATAATGGATGAAAAAGGGATGGCTCTTTTTTAAAAAGAGACTCGATGATCCATAGGGTCCCTTCCAGCCTCTGCCCTTCTAAGGTTAAATTAACGAAATTATGAATGAAAAAGGGATGGATCTTTTTTAAAAAGAGAGAAAGCATTATGTTTTCCTTCCTCTCCTGAAAATGGGGATTGCTGGACAAAATTTATTCGATGGCTACAGCTTTGCACAAACTCGCCACGGCATCAATGTTCAGAAAACGGATACACTGACATTTGAGAATTCCCAGAGGTTCTGGGTCACACAGTGGCAACTGTGCACTAATAATAATAATAATAATAATAACAACAACAACAACAACAACAACAACAAC